TACATTTTTTTAGTTATTGATGGGCCTTTATTTTATTCATTTATTTATATGCGATGCTGAGAATTGAACCCAGTGCCTCACGTCACACATGTGAGGTAAGTGCTCTCCCAGTGAGCCACAGTCTCAGCCCCATGATGATGTTCTTGATGAGGTTTTAAAATTCATTCTTTTAGGGGATGGGGTTGTGGCTCAATGTTCGCCTAGCATGTGTGAGGCACTGGGTTTGATCCTTAGCACCACATAAAAATAAAGATACTGTGTTCACCTAAAACTTAAAAAAAAAAATAAAAAAAAATTAAAAATTAAAAAAATTAATTCTGTTAAACCTTGACCATTTAGTAAATCTTTTTTAGTATTTTATGTAATAAGACTGAAATGTATATTGCAGTTCTGGATATCAAAATAATATAATAGCACTGTGCTATTTGAATTGTCAGTTAAATCAGCTGCATTTTCACAGAAAACCATTTTTTATTTGAATAACTTATTTAGACTTGGGTATTTGGCAGACATTTTTTTTTTTCAAAAAGAAGGAAAGAAGTCTGTTCCTTTAAGGAAACAAGTGACGATATTTGTTGCCAATGATAAAATATGAGCTTTCATGAGAAAATTAAATTTTTTGAGAAATTTTTCTTGCTTCTATGACCTTAACAGTTTTGTAATTCTTAGACTCTTTGATATATTTTTTATGAGTTATATTAACAAATAAAATGCAAATATAATAATAAATATAATTTGTTGATACTGTATAATGCAACTTGTTAACATTTGGAAAATATGCATAACAGTGATTGATATTTTTCCAGATGACTAGAACATGGATTTAAAAATAATCCACATAAAGTACAAAATAAACCACTGAAGTTTAAAGTAGTAATAAAATAAATTTATAGTTGAGGCTTTCATATACAGATCAACAACTGACCATATGGTTTTGTTTTAGTATGATACCAAAGAATATCCACAGTTATCTGAAAAACAATTATATCCCTCTCTTTTCTAACTGTGTGAAGCTACATTTTCTCAATATTCTTTGATCAAGCCAGATAGCACAGCAAAGATTGTTGAAGCAGATATTAGAATATAGTTATCTTTTATTAAGCCAGAGATATTAAAGACTTGGAAAAATTTAAAACAGTGTCCTTTTTGTTGCTACTGTTTTGTACACTTTGGAAAATAATTTTTTAATAAAATTGTCATTTAAGTTTACATGCAATCATGTTTTTCTTTTTTTTAAAATGGGTTATATATTAAAAATTGGTTGGGCTGCGGTTCTGGCTCAGTGGTAGAGTGCTCGCCTAGCACGTGCCAGGCACTGGGTTCCATTTCAGCACCACATATAAATAAATAAGTAAGTAAGTAAATAAATAAATAAATGGTGTTGTGCCCAACTATCACTAAAATATATATATGTATGTATATGTATGTGTGTGTGTGTGTGTGTGTGTGTATATATATATATATAAGTAAATTTGTCAGTTTCAATTTTTCAATATGATAAATTTTATAATTCATACAAACTAGGGTCTTTAGGGTCCTTAGTAATTTCTAGGATTGCAAAGGAGTTCTGAGACCTGTTTTGCTATTATAAAGAATTACAAAACTGCATATTTTTGTACCTAATACGATGGTAGTAGTTATGTTTAAAGGCACATGTCATTTTTTATATATTTTTATTTGTGTAGTATTTATTTAATATATACAAACCAAGCAAGTGCTAGGCACTATCTGGAGATGTATTTGTCCTAGATATCAGAGGTTATATTTTTTGGCAGAAGACAAAATGTTAAATAAATAGAGCAGTAATTAAGACATGCTCATGATAGGGTAGACATCCAGTAAGGGCTTCTAACTTAATCAAGAAGACAGTGGAGAGAATAGATACTTAAAGTTTAAAAACTACTGAGTATGGCTGGGGTTGTGGCTCAGTGTTAGAGCGCTTGCCTAGCATGTATGGAATACTTGGTTCAATTCTCATCACTGCATATAAATAAAGAAAATAAAGATCCACCAGCAAATAAATAAATAAATAAATAAATTTAAAAAAAACTAGTGAGTATTTGAAGTGATAAGGTTGGAAAAGTGGTCTAAGACAAGGAAACAAATGCTTAATTTTCTGTAGTAGAGAAATTACGTTGCATTGGAGGTTCATGAGGGCAGGCACTGTGTCTTAGCTGATCTTGTCATTGCTCTTGAGTATCAATCAAGGTTTTTGGCTTATAGTAGAGTCTTAAATATTCCTTAAACTTCTGAGTGATTGATAAGCAGAAAGAAAAGCCCCATGGGAACTGTTAGAATCAGGGAGGGAAAAGAAACAAGAAAGACTAGTGTCTCAAAGGCCAAGGAAGAATATTTCATAAAGGAAGCAGTACTCAACTAGTTGTGTCTAATGTCACTAAGATTATTCATACAAAAATTTATTCTAAGTTTATTAGTAAATACTTCCCAACTTTTCTGATTTTTTTTTCAGTGTTCACATTGACGTCTAACAGTATCTGAGAACTTTCAACATCTAATATAATCCATGGCAATCTGAAATTAATATTAGAGTGTATTTTACTTACAGGAGGATATTGTTGATTTCTGTCAAAATTAGGGTACCACTTTTGACAGCAAATGTTATATTTTTATTTTAGCTTGTTTGCTGGTTATGCATTTCATTAGATACAGAATATGAATAAAGTTGTAGATAAAAATTGCTATTTAAGTAAATGAGAAAATGAAATGAATAATGCTGCGTTTATAATAATTGGTCTCTGGATGAATTTTCTAGTAGTAGTTGGATGATACTTTTTTGCTTAACTGTCTCATTGTGTTTTCCATTACTGTAATGTAATGCCTGCGACTGGGTACTCTATAAAGAAAAGAAGTTAAGAACTAGGCATATTATAGCAAAGTGGTAGAGGATTAGTGAGCATGTGCAAGGTTCCTGCACAGGGCAGGGGTATGGGTGTGAAATGAAGAAAAAAAAAATGGAAGATTCTTTTAGGCCACAGTTTTAGAGTTTGAAAGTCCAAGGATGAGCAGCCTCATCTCTTCAGCCTTTGGTGAAGCCCCTTTAGCCCCTTTCACAGTATGGCAGAGAAATGGAAAAGAAATTGACTGCATGCAGAAGGGGACAAGTGAATTTTTGCCTATCCTTGCTGAGTAACAACCCATTATGAAGAATTATTAAAGAAAAGCTTTAATCCCTTCCAACAGCAGTGCCCCAATGACCTGATTACCTTCTGTTAGGCCTCACCTTTTAGAGGTTTCATCACCTCATTATCACCACACCAAGGAACAAGTAAGTCTCCAGCACATGAATCACTGGGGAGGCAAACCACGTCTAAGCCATAGCAATGATAATGGTATCTTAATATGGTAAAGTAGGGAGGAACTGATAGGAGGAAAATTTAATCATAATTGCTTATTAAGTAAATTTACTGCCTTCGTATATTTAATTTTAAGTGGACTTAATCAGAATCCATTTATATTTTAGAATTTTTCCAAGAATATTTTTGCAATTCTTCAGTCTGTCAAAGCCAGGGAGGAAGGGCGTGCGCCTGAACAGCGACCAGCTCCAAATGCAGCACCTGTGGTAAGAATGTTTTGCACCTTATATAGTAGTTTTAATGAAAGTGCCATTTTTATAACAAAAATTTCAGTGTTGTAGTTTTGAAGACATCTTAAAGTTTTAAATTAATATTGTAAAGCTGCTTTGGTGTACCTTAATGATGTGAAGACTCTTTTCAGCATGAAAAGTTACTTCAGCAGGAACTCTGGTGTCATTAAGACTGAGAAAATATACCTTGCCATATCTGGTATGAATGGGTTAAGTAGGAGAAACCTTCTGAGTAATTATTTTAGGTAAACTGTATCTGGCCTACTTATTGTTATGTGGGACAATTGACCATTGTTTAAAATATAAATCTCTATTACTCTTGAGTTGGGACTTATTTTGACATCTTTTCTATCTATGATAGGTTGGTGACTGTATTTTCCCTAATCATCTGCCATGTGACCCTTTCATTATAGACTGAGTTTTGGATAAAGTATTTTCAAATTAAATTATGCAGTTTTGGATTTGTAATTCTTGGTAGTGATATTAAGTTTTTACTCATAAATAGTGTCTCAAAAATGATTAATGGTCATCAAGTGGTCTCCTCACTACTTTTTGTCTTACTGGCTATTTTTTTTTTTTTTTAAGTTGTTAACGGATCTTTTATTTATTTATTTATATGTGGTGCTGAGAATCGAACTTAGTGCCTCACCCATGCTAGGCAGGTACTCTAGTACTGAGCTAAAACCCCAGCCTTACTGGCTATTTTAAGACAAATAGCTTAGAATATAAATATTTCTATTTTGTTTTTAATTATGACTATTAACCAGTATTTTAAAATATTAACTTGTAACTCATAATTTATCTTTCTACAGGATCCTACGTTGCGTACTAAACAGCCTATCCCAGCTGCCTATAACAGATATGACCAAGAAAGATTCAAAGGAAAAGAAGGCAAGTTGCTCCCTTTATTGTTGTGCTGACCTTGAGAGTTAGTATATTAAGGAGTCTCATGTTTAAGAGTAAGTGTTTGCAAAGTAACTTTATAGGCCAAATTTGGCTGTGGTTTTTTTAAAAATAGTTTTTAGTTGTCAATGGACTTTTATTTTTATTTATTTACATGTGGTGTTGAGATGGAACCCAGTGCCTCACACATGCTAGGCAGGCGCTCTACCACTGAGCCACAACCCCAGCCCTTACTGTTTTTTGTAAAAGTATTTTGTTTTTTTTAGAATACAGCCACATTTAATTCATGTTTAATTTGTGACAGCACAGTTGAGTTGTTACAGACCTTATGTAGCCTGCAAAGCTTTTGGCCTTTACAGAAAATTGGTAAACTCCTTGTTAGTAGTTTGGATTCTGGATCCAGATATGCTCGTGTCTGTTAATTTCTGTTGAAATTTTAATGTTACTTCAAGTGCATCCCATCTTAGTTTCCACTTGTTTGTAATTACAACACTAATAGTAATAGCACCTATCTCTTATTAGAGTTATGTTGGACATTAACCAGTTAATAAGGTCTTTAGAATAGGGTCTGGTATGTAAAAAACTATTTATTTTAGAATAGAGATTCTAGACATCAAATCATGTTTTCCATATTCTATTTAAAAAAAAATTTTGAGGGGTGGGGTGGGGTACCGGGGATTGAACTCAGGGGCACTCGACCACTGAGCCACATCCCAACCCATTTTTGTATTTTATTTAGACACAAGATCTCACTGAGTTGCTTAGCGCCTTGGGTTTGTTGAGACTGGCTTTGAACTTGCCATCCTTCTGCCTCAATCTCCCAAGCAACTGGGATTACAAGTGTGTGCCACTGTGCCTGGCTAAATTTTAAATACATACATTTAGAACTTCGGAAGCATAGTCTTGGAGCAATAGTGTGACCTCTATTTTGTGATGGCCCAAGGATATTTGGGCTAATATAATAGTGAGCCATTTCTATATTGGCAAGATGTTAGTGATAAAAAATAAAAAGGGCTGGTGATGTAGCTCAGTACCAAAACAAAACAATACCAAAACAAAACAATACAATATCAAACAGTACCAAAACAAAATAACAATAATAGAAAAATAAAAACATAAATAATACTGTGAGGTGAGACTAACATCAGTTCCTCTTGAGATCTTTATTCATCTTGATTTGATTTATGAAACTTTGAGGTAGAAGCACTGGAACTTTCACTTTACTATTTTCTGCATAATCTGAAATCTCCCTTAAGTTCCTTTAAAGGATGGTGATGTCTCAATGCAGTGAATTTTGTGTGCTGACTTCATACACTGAATAAATGCATACCATGAGTACATATCATAGAAAGATAGTATTTCATTATTTTATTCATTGTAGTGTTTTTCTTATGGAATAGATTAATATAAAGTAGCCTTCAGACAAAATCTGACACTTTATAGGCCAAACCAGCTGCTCTGTTTGTACACATAATATCATTTCTCTTTTTTTCTTCCCCGCTACAACTGCAGAATTCAGTAATTGTAACAGAGACTTTATGGCCTGCAATATGTAAAATATTTATTATAGTCCCCTTCACAAAAAGCTATATTGGGATGATATCCATAAACTCTTATCATTATTTACAAGATTGTTTCCTACAAAATATATTATTTGTAACTTTGGTGCACAACTGTTTTTTTGACTTGAGGAATTCTCAATATTAGATGCTTTCAAGGGTATTGAGTATTAGCAAATATTTAGCAAATAATTTGGGGGTCATAAAGTATTTTATTCAGTCTCATTTTTGAACATAATCTCATGAACTTCTGTGCACTATACTTGTTAGTGTGTATTGATTATATTTTTTGAGACCAGTGTCTTAACGTTTTTATGTTTACAAGATTATAATGAACCTTTATATAAAGTAAATTGAAGACTTTGTTGTACTGTTGAACTTTGAGATATAATGGAAATTCTTACTTTAGTTTTTTTTATCTATCATATAATATCTAAAGTCTTAACAATAAACTGCTTTTCTTTGTAGAAACGGAAGGCTTTAAAATTGACACTATGGGTACCTACCATGGCATGACACTTAAATCTGTAACGGTAAGTCATTTTGATTATGGATAATATTTTATGTGAGATCCAGGTTATTTTATGTAAGTAGCAGATGTTGAGGAAAATTTTGGTCCTCATTTAATATTTTGTACTTGAAATATTTATCTAATAACCAATTGTGCTGGTGGATCTTGTGATTTATTATTTGATTGATGAGTGTTTTGTTTCTTTTTCCAAAACTGGTTTTGAGTATGTGTAAATGAAAACTGTTTGGACTAACTTGCAACTGGAATGATGCTGTGTAGAAATTATTATTTCTAGATGTTCTGACCAAGTAAAATTTAAGACTTTTAATTTTTATTTAAACCATGATGTAACTTGGTCCTGTAGAGCCTGAATCCTTTACTTTATTTTGCACACTAATTATTTTGCATACTTATGGCTCCAGAGTGTGGAGCTTTGTGCCTTTTATACTTTAAAATACCTGTGCCTATATTAGAAACAAATACCAAAGTTACTTTCATCTTTTCTTGTGTCATCAGATCTTTACAGACTCCATGTTGCATGGAATCATAATATATTTGCTATGAATTAAGATACATTTTTATATTCAAAATTGGCCATGCTTTAACTTAAGTTATTTCTAGAAGCAGGCAATATTGAGAATCTCATCAGAAAGTTAAAATTTTTATTTCTTTTTTAAACCTTCAAGGTGGGACTGGGTATGAGATATTTTGTTATATATTTGTTTTTAGATTATCAGACTTGTTTTTATATTACTGAAATTGTTTATGTACTCATTAGCACTTACATCACACCTTGTTTTAGAGGCTGGGCATGTACAAATGGGGACTTCTTTAAAGACATTAGTCAGAGAGGCCTTTCTGAGGAGATGACAGCCAAAAAGAGACCTGGCAGAAGAACATTTCCTAGAAGGCAAGGCAGTGGTCAGGACTGAGGCCCTATGGAGCAACAGCCAACAAGGCCAGTGTGTACAGTTAAGTGAAGGAGGGGGAAAGTGATAAGAAATTAGATACATCCATCTTTTGAGATTTGCCTGGTTTCTCCTGATTTTAAAATATAATTCATGGCTTGTAAGATTTAATTTAAATTCTTAAGTTATGTAGTTACTGATGTTTTCTTGGGGATAGAACTTGCTTACTGATTCAACCTTAAGTGATGATATCATACCTTTGAGGAACTGAATGAAGTTGCGTTCGTGGGTAGGCATCAAAGTTATTTTTGTTATTGTCATTGTTTTATTTCTTCCTTTCCCATTGCTCTGAAATGTCGTGGAGTGAGTTTGATTATTTGAGCTTCTATGCAAAGATAGTTTTTATAGTGGTGCTTTTGTACAGAGCAATGTTTTCTAAAATCCAAGAATATAAGTCTTTTTTTTGGGGGGGGGGTGCCAGGAATTGAAATCACTTGGTCACTGAGCCACATCCCCAGCCCTAATTTGTACTTTTTATTTAGAGACGAGTTGCTTAGCTCCTTGCTGTTGCTGAAGCTAGTTTTGAATTTGCGATCTTCCTGTCTCAACTTCTCGAGCAAACGGGATTACAGACGTGTGCCACCATGCCTGCCTAAGAATATATTGTTTTAAAAAAATTTTGACCCCCTGCCCAAGAATATATTCTTAACTGAACGGTGTGAGAATGATAGTTTTTCGCTTCCTTATCAGAGACCTTGTTCTAAATATTCTTAAAAGAGGTGAATTTAAGGAAATTTATGCTATATGATTTTTAAAAGAGTCAGAAAAAGGTGTTTTTTCAGGAATTCAGTAGCAAGACGAAAAATGATCAAATTGCTAGTAATTTTATTATTTCATCACCCATTTTGAATTTCTGTGCTGTTTTTGTCCTGATTTATATAGCAGTTATTGAAAGAGAATACAAGCAAGTTTGAACTTGAAAGCTTTGAAGATAATTGCTATTACTTTTTAAAAAATTATTTAGTTGTACCCCAAGCTTAGGCTTCTAATATATATATATATATATATATATATTTTTAAGAGAGAGACAGAGAGAGAGAGACAGAGAATCTTAATATTTATTTTTTAGTTATCGGTGGACACAACATCATTGTTTTGTATGTGGTGCTGAGGATTGAACCCGGGCCGCACGCATGCCAGGCGAGCGCGTTACCGCTTGAGCCACATCCCCAGCCCCTAATATAATTTTTCTTCTTTTTTTTTTCTGTTTTGAAATTATTACTCTATTTGTGAGTTTGCAAGTTTGCCTACTTTCTTCTTAATTCTCTGGTTAAGAAAGTTTGTCTCTTGTAATATCCAGCCACACATACAAAGTTGTAAAATGTGATAAAAGGCTTTGTTTCTCACGTTGTGACTTCCTTTCTAAGATATTAATTCATTTTTGCTACCTTTATTTTTCAGTTTTATTGTGCTTAGTTAATAGAAATTAAAATGAGTCCAGGGTTAATCTACATATCTTTTAAGTTAAACATCAGTGTTCTAGTAGATGAAAGACTAAATCAACAAGTTGGCAATTTTAATACAAATGTGTTTTTTCCCTGAAGTTGTCAGAGAGAAGGGCGTGTGTTTTGGTAATCCTATTTCATAAGAATCATAAATTATTGAAATTTGTTAAGGACATAACAAGGCCCAGGCAGGGTTTTGTTAATATACAAACAGTACTTTATTGAAATTAAAGCTGAGCCATTTTTAAGATTACAAATTTGTATATTGAATATATATGGTTCACTTTTTTTCTTTTGAGAAGGAAGGCAGGGGTTGTCTCACCTGTGTTGCCCAGACTGGTCTTGAACTGTTAGGTTCATGATTCTCCTGTTTTAGCCTTCTGGGTAGGTGGGACTACAGGTGTGTGCTACTATGCCCAGCTTCTAATTGACTTTTTTTCAATTAGCATTAATCGAGCCTCGGATAAACCTCATTGGCTACGATACTGCCACTGCGCAAAGCTACTTTTTTTGACAGGACATAAAATGTGTTTTATAGTAAAGGTTTCAGAGGCACAAGTCATGAAATTGTTGAGTTGTTAGAAAGCTTTTCTGAGCTGGGAGCATTCCCCCCAAAAGTATTACTTGGATTTTGTAATGTTTAAGAAAATAGTAACTTAGCCAAATTTTGTGGTACAGTGTGTCTGTCTGTGTGTGTCTGTCTCTCTGTCTCTCTGTCTCTCTCTCTCTCTGTCTCTGTCTTTCTCTTTCTTTTGTACCTGGGATTGAATCCAGGGTTTCTTAACAATTGAGCCACATAGCAGCCCTTTTATTTTTTGAGACAGAGTCTCACTAAGTTGCTCAGGACCTTGCTAAGTTGCTGAGGCTAGTCTTGAACTTGGGATCCTCCTGCCTCATTGTTTTTAATGTTTGAATATCTAAGTTGGAATATAAATGTATGCTTCTTTTAAAAACAAAAGAAAACGTCTTTCCAAAGTTTATTTGCTACCAGAGTTTGCCCTTTTCCTTCCACTTTTTGGGGAACATTTTTGAAAAGAATTAGTTTTACAAGGAATCAGGTTAAATAAAACTATCCTAGAATTATGGTTGAAAATAGAAAACTTTCTTAGGAGAAAATACATATAAGTTTTCATGTATTCCTTTTGTGGAAAAGCCATCTTAGACTAAGAAAATGTTAGTTGACATTGCTTTTTATTATTAAAATAAATAGATGAAGATACTATTTTTCTTATTTGATAGTAGCAAGGAGCCTAACTCTAGTTCTGTTGGAGAGGGTATAAAAAACTACAATCCCAGTTGACTCTTGTTTACAGAAATTTGGCAATTGCATTAAGAATCACTTCATTTTAACCTCCATAGTTTGTTCAGGTACCAAGGTTATAAATTCTAACCCCTATTTGTTAACTTTTTTTCCTTTCTTGTTCAGTTTCATTAACTCTTTTTAAAAATATTTATTTTTTTTGTTGTAGTTGGACACAATACCTATTTTTTATTAATTTTTTTATGTGGTGCTGAGGATCGAATCCAGGGCCTCACATGTGCTAGGTGAGCGCTTTACCGCTGAGCCACAACCTAAGCTTAACTTTTTTTTTTAATTCTAATTTGTTATATATGACAGCAGAATGCATTTCAATTCATATTTCACATATGAAGCACAATTTTTGGTGTCTCTGGTTGTATACTCATTGACTCTTAATCACCTTATTATCTTCATTTTTGAGAAAGCATTTTGTACCTTGAAATCTTAAAGACTGAAAGACATATTAGCTCTTATTATGTAGATCAGATTTAGTAGTTCTTACCATAAGTGTTTTATGGGAAACCATTTTCTTGATAGTAAATTTAGATTTCTAGTATTTGTGTTAGAGGTGTATTAGTGTCACCATCACCTTAACACTTTTGGAGAGATTTAGAGAATCTTAATCTCTCAACCAGGTTGTCTTCTTTGTTTGAGGGGTCGGGGTTGGGGTACTAGGGATTGAACCCAGGAGCACTCAACCACTGAGCCACATCCCCAGCCCTATTTTGTATTTTATTTAGAGACAAGGTCTCACTGAGTTGCTTAGTGCCTCGCCTTTGCTGAGGCTGGCTTTGAACCCACAAACCTCCTGCCTCAGCCTCCCGAGCTGCTGGGATTATAGGCGTGTGCCACTACTCCTGACCAGGTTGTGTTTTTAAAGCAGGAATACATACATTAGTAACCTCTGCACTCTATCACTGTTAGGTAAAGCTTCTTTCCTTCTCATTTGGTTGTTTATTAATTTATTCTTCATTTCTTCTTGGGTTATCATGGAAGTAATGTATAGTAGCACAAATGTTCTGAAATTTTCTAGAACCCAGGCCAACTGAAATGGAGATAATTGCTTAAGGTATTCTTCCTTGGGGCTCTCTTTCCCTTTCTCACTTCTTCTTTTCCTGTGTTTCTTTAGCAAATATTGTTTGAACACTTGCTCTTTGCCATGCGATATCCTGGTGTCTATCAGAGGTGAACAAAACCATATGTGTTCTCATGAGCTTGATTTTATGGTCTAGTGTGGCAGAGACATTAGTCAGTGACTTGAATGTGATGTGAATATATCGAGTGTGTAGAGGTGTACATTATGCCAGGA